TTCGATCACACTCACTATAAGTGTTTTTTAATCCTAGATTAAAATTGAACCCACAAAATTCGATCACAAGAAAAGAACTTTCTCACATTCTCAAGTCTTTTGGTACACAGTTCTCGATGCTTTATCAGTCTTTGGCAAGTTTTCACACATATTAAGCACACTTACTCTGCACACCATACCAAACCCAACAACATAATATCTCTATGCAAAAACCTATGAGCCCTTTTCCCATGTCAACATGGACTTTATCTTCGATAAAGAAAAGAAGTTTAGTAGGAAATTAATTTCCGTTTTTGCATCACCCATGATCTTGTTGGCAAGAGTTCAATTGGACTTCCGAATTTAGCCCGAGCTTCCGTGTTATTCAATTGTGGGCCCGGATTCAAAATCAATCAGGATTAACTTTGAGTAATAATCAACAAAGTTTATATAGAAAATTCAATTTTTTTATTACGAGCGAGTCTAGAAAATAATTTCAGGTTTGTCCAAAAGCCTGGCTACACATCGATAAGATCTAAGGCTTAGTTTTCTTGTAGTTGTTATAGTTGATGTTATTACTATTGTTGTAGGCATCGTATCCCCAGATAAATATTTTTGTTGCCAATCTGTTTGTGAAAAAAAAAATTACATACACTTACCGGAGTTTCAGTGTAAATCCTATTTTTAAGGATATCAATGACGAACAATTGGCAGTAAAGCCAGAATTATAAAACATGTAACACTTGTGTATTGCTAGAGTAAAGTAATTACCATGCGATACTGAATGCCTCATGAAAAATAAAAGTCATTGCACTCTATAACAGATTTACTTCCACTGGTTTCGTGATGGAGCGATGGTGACTGGCTCGCTCAAATGAGTAGTAGGTATTGGTCAAATTAAGCAAATCCGTCGCCAGGATGCAACTCCTCTAATAATGCTCAAGTGCAGTTGGAAAATGCTAGTCGCGGTTTCTCATTTTTTTTTATATCCATAACAAGGAAACGTTTTCATTGGTCGCCTTTTCTCATCCTTATTTATAAGTAACGGAGACTCGACATGATGTTAGCATCCATTGTTACATGGGGAAACATATTGCTTTACCTTATCTGCTACTAAGATATGCTCGACCAATTCCTATGAAGTTCTCACACACTGGGTGTCGAGAAATAAAAGGCTTTTCTAGCAAAATGTGCTAATAATATGCGTGCAAAATTCCTTTCAAGTGCTTCAAAGAGGCGCAAAAGTGACGTGATATATATAAAACTAGCAAAGATGCCCCGAACATTGCATGGGTCTGAGACTACAATTGTATTATTCTAAATGTTGTCGTCGACGTGAATTTTGCAAGAGAAATAATATGTAGATAATTGTAGCATAATAAATATTCTACGCACGGGATTAGTGGAGTTTTATTTAAAGTGGATCCAAATGCCATCATGTAGGTTTATCCATAAAACTGTCAATCTTTTTCTAATCACAACATAAGTAGATATAACATTTTGAACACGCAAGATAATATGGAACGATATAACATGAAACGTAAGAATGTAAATTCCCCTCTCTATCTCCACTTTTGTGCCATTGACTTGGTGTCTTGAAGGTGAGCAAGTTATGTGTTAGAATTTTCTTGAGAGTAAAATGATTTCTTCTCTTTTCTCCATTTGGCCCTCTCTAAATAGAGTTAAAGGCGATTTTTTTAAAGATCATCTTCCGATTCCATATATTTCAGTATCTTCTTTTAAGGAACTTCTCCATTTTTTTTTTCTAATTAGTTTATGTCTGTCGTTTTATGTTGACAAGAGTTGATGGATATCTCATCATCTATGACAATGTAATTATAATTAATCAGAAACTAAATTTACAAATATCTTGCGAAAAAAATGTAATATTCAATTTGTATATTTGAAGAAATTCACAATATACCTTTCCCCGAAAATACATATTAGAGTTCCCTTGATTTATTTTCGGAATCTGTATATTGACATATTCCTTCATTTTCTTGTGAAAATCTTGGGGCCAGCAGTTGATTGCTAGTATACTTTGCATTTATTGATGCTTCAATTTAATTATTTTTCCCAACTTTGTAAACCTTAATATGGTTATATCATGATTTTCGTTACTATTTTCTACTTACGTTATTAAATTTAACATTTTCTATAGACAGTTTGGCGGGCACCGCATTTTGACATCTCTATAAGAAAAAATCGATACTAAACTAAAAGGAGCATGACATAATGTTTTGAGTTACTGTAAAGTTTCAATAAGATATCTCTTAAATTGTGATGTGGACTATACTTTGAACTTATTACTATTGTAAAAAAGATGTTAGGAATGGTAATATCAGTTAAATAAAAAACAACTGAATATAGTAAAAGAATCACCATAATGCCAACAAATGACTAAAAATATTTTTATGTGTTGACGAATTCCATTGGACACATTTATTTTTATGTTGATCAATAGACAATATTATCTCAATCCTTTATAAAATTCATTTAAGTGTTTTATTTTTCCTTCAATGAGTCCAAGTACATATCTGTTTGCTTAATATATCTTAGAGAAGTAGCTCCTATGATGAATTAACAACATGAAGATTTAGTTGTCATTGCCAAATGTAGCCAGGTTGAGAAGACGCTAATAAAATATTTATGCTAATCAAAGCTAGGTACGCATTTTTCGTTTATAAATTTTTGAAATCAAGTAATTGTTGATTTTCTATTGATTTTTGTCCTTTTACTAACTATAGTATATTTTGTCATAAGAATTTCTTCGAGACTTGTTGAAATTCATATAAGATAGGAACTCCTTCAAAATGTCATTCGAAAACTTATTGGGGTCCTTAACTCCAAATTTATTCTCACTAATTGCAAATTGATAGTAATTATCTTCGTTGACCGTAAAGTGATATGAATTATCTTTGATAATTTGTTTAATCATATATACATAATTTTAAAATTTTAAAGTAGCGGGTCTATGATGTTGTTTTTCGTGCTTGTTGATGTATAATTTTTAAAAAAGTATATACAAATTATTTCATTTACAGTTATCTTGTAATGATGAATTTCATCACAAGAGTAATCACTAATCATCCATTTATTGATATTTATTAATAAAACTAATGGATATTAAAATTCATGTATATTTTCAAAACATTTTTCCTTTATAATATTATGTTACAGCAGTCGTATATTTTTGAAAATTGATTTCCATATATATATATATATATAACATTAATTTTTCAAAACAGCGACAAGTAATTTTTTCAAATAATCCTCTAATCTCATTTGTTCAAGAGATACAGTGTAATTTAGATGAGTATATGCGCAATTATGAAATTTCACTTTATCATGGAACGTGACCTTTTTAGGCATCTAAGTTTTTTTTTATATCTTATATGCAGGAATTTATTCCATCAATGTTTTCATTCATCGGCTTATTACAGGTTATGTAACTTTTTTTCTTTGATCGAACAGGCTCTGTAACTTAGACGCAAGACTTTGTTCTCATTATCTTGAAAATCATTTTAATTTTTGTGATCATAATTTTAGGTGCCAAATATGTCAAACATGAGACATAACCTTTGAAACATTTAACTTTTAATCTATAAATTAGATGCATGAATTTGTTTCATCAACTTAAAAATTCAGTCCATAGATATTTCAATATAGAATCTTGTTGGGCTGGGTCCGCCTCTTGTGGGGCTCGGCTCATCATCTTAATAAAAAAAAGAAAACGATATGGCTGAATCCGCTCGATTTAAGAGAGAAAAAGAGCAATTGTTATAGCACAAAAAAAAGGCAGAAAATTTTGCTTTGAAGAGGAGAAGAGGCAGACCAGATTCAACGGCGAAACTTAGTTGGAATTGATTGAAATTTCAGTATGTTGTTCGTGAGTCCAAGATGTATAAGTTGATTGGTTTTGGCTGTTGAAATCCTTCTCCAAATTGTCTCTCAATTTTCTCTAGCAGCAATTAGAGCTTTCTTACTTCTTTGTGTTAATCCACCTTTGCGGGGTTGATATATTGCTATTTTGCCAATGTGAAGAGCCTCTATCTGTGTGAGTAGAGATGAAGTATTGTGTATCTTGCTATTCTTGGTGATTAGCGGAAATTTTTTTAGCGAACTTGTGGTCTTTTTGCATTGGGATTTCCACGTAAAATTTGTGGTTGTTGTTTCTGCCCCTCTTTAATTTTCAACTCTATATTTATTGCTTCGGGCTTGATACTGCTAGAGTATTGTGACTGGTTCTTGATAGGGTTAATTCTATATTAGTTGGTTGAGTTTTGTGAAATATAATATTTTTGAATAGATATAAGCAGTAGATTCTTGCCCTTTTTACCCAACAAATCTACATTATACATTATTATCAAGATATGCATAAGAATTAGAGATGACATCATAGATTTGTTAGGATTAAAGATTTGTTAAAGTGACTAGAAAGGTAGACTTAGTGGCCAAAACTCGCATGTGAGGATGTCACGTGACTCAATCTTGCGTGACTCAATCTTGCGCAAACTTTACTCGCTTATGCAGTAACCATGCATCTCTTTGAAAGCCCTTTTTGCCTTTTAATTTACAATCAATTCCCAAGCTTTTGTTTTTGGCCAAAGCTTGTACAAAGCAGTATTAGAGTACTTATGTATCGAACCATACCTTTGCTAGGTAATAGATTATATCGTTGGGACCAATGACTGTTTAACGATAACAAACTCACTCTTTCTATCCTAAGAAACTATTATAAACTCATTGCTAAAACGAATGCAGAAATCACAGTACAAAAGTGATGCTAAGTTAATTCTCGTCGTTAGAAAAAGGAAATCAATATGCAATAAACCTCACATATAGTACCTTTTCTTTACGAGTGCCTCCGAAACATTAATTAATAAAGTCGATCTTTTGGTAAACATACTATGAATCTACCTAATAATATTTTCCTTGTTATTCCTCTCTCTCGCACGCACACACCCGAACACACACACACACACACAAGTGATAGGAGAGCGATGAAAAGGTGCGGTAGACTCGGATCCTGTCGCTTGAGAAAAAAGCTCATCGACACTCCCCATCTCCTTTTCAGCTGCAATATTTGACTCTTTCTCTTTCTCTCTCTCTCTCTCTCTCTCTGCTTTGAAAACCTAAATCAAGACAGAAAACAACGATGGACGACCAGTACGGACTGCCGGATCTCCGGCAGCTCATAGCCACTCGAACCACCCAATTCTCCTCCCTCCTCCACCTCGAGCCACCACTGCCACCGCCCCCTCCACCTCGAACCGCTATTCACACCAGCTTCTCACCTTCCTCTCCACCATCTTCTTCACACTATGAGCCCACCGTCAACATGTTGAGCACGGCCCTCGCTAACGCGAACGCGAACGCGAACGCTCACTCCACTCACCCTTTCGCTACCGCCACTCCTCCTCCTTCGGCTCTGACTGGTGGCTTCGACATATTTGAGTGTGGAAGCTACAGGAGCGACATGATTGGAGGTTCTGGGACGAGCAGCATCGGCAGCAGCAGATGGCCCAGGCAAGAGACGCTCACTCTTCTGGAGATCAGATCTCGCCTGGATCCCAAGTTCAAGGAGGCCAATCAGAAAGGACCCTTGTGGGACGAAGTCTCCAGGTAACGAAAAAAATTTATGATAGGAATTCACTAAAACAAATTAAACCCCATTTTGATTTGCAGAAGTCCCTTATGAACGATAAATTGGGTCAGGAAGAAGAAAAAGAGAGGGACTGCTAGTAGTAAGCTCAAAAACCCTACTGATAAGTATCAAGATTTTGCTTCTTCTTGATCTTGGCACTGTTTCAAAAGTGAGAAGCTGCTGTGAAAAGCTTCTCTCTCTCTCTCTCTCTCTCTCTCTCTCTCTCTCTCTCTCTCTCTCTCTCTCTCTCTGTGTGCATCTAACGATGCTCTGGTAAGGGGTTGACAAAGACAAGCCATTGAACTGAGAGTCTCAGGTGTCTTATTTACCCATTTCATTTGCCTTTTCAAAGAAAGAACTTCTGCAACCCCTCTTCCTCCTCAGCTGCTCTCCATCAATTTTTCCTTTTTATTGTGCTTTCTTTGCTATGAGCCTTGGCCTGTGTGTGCGCTACATGGATTCCCGAGAGAAAAAGCTTTTCTTGACTGGAAGTTCACTGTTTGCACGAACCCAACATGCCCATTAATCAACGCTTTTAGCTCAAGCGACAGTTTTTTTTTTCGCGTGTTTCGAAGTATAGTGAGTTTCATATATAAATCAAAATCTGCTTGCTTCAGAAGCAAGCAAGGACACATGATTTTACATTATATTATACCTTCAAACTAGGACAACCACATCCAAACTATATACTTCGGATGACATCCATTATTGGAATATTCATTTTTCAGTAATTAATTTAAGCAGAAGTGTATGAGGGAAACATTTGGAAACAAGCTTCTAGGGTTTATCTTATTGCTCATTATCTCTTCTCTCGTCCCATATCTCTAATTTGCGTTCAAGGTTTCAACTTGCTTCTCTCTCTCTCTCTCTCTCTCTCTCTCTCTCTCTCTCTCTCTCTCTCTCTCTCTCTCTCTCTCTCTCTCTCTCTTAATGCAGGATAATGTCTGAGGAACATGGGTACAATAGAAGCGGCAAGAAGTGTAGAGAGAAGTTTGAGAACCTGTACAAGTACTACAAGAAAACTAAGGAAGGCAAAGCTGGAAGGCAGGATGGGAAGAACTACAGATTCTTTCGCCAACTTGAAGCAATCTACGGAGAATCGACCACCGCTAACCGCAAGCCATCTACAGATAATTCATCTCTTGTCTCCAACATTAATTTCTACCCGGCACCGAACAATATTAGTAGTCATGCAATCCAAGATCAAGCTCTGCAACGCGAAATGAGCCTCAGTTTCTCAAACTCATCATCGCATGAGCTCGAAACGGCCTCTTCCTCTGAAAACAACGAAGAAGATCTCTCAGCGATCGCTTTCATGATGAATAGCAGTCATTCGTCAGAGAAGAAGAAGAGATTGGTAAGTGAGAGCGACAGCTCAAAAAGGAGTAAAAAGGGGTGGAAGGAGAAGGTGAAGCACTTTGTGGATTCACAGATGAGGGACATCATAGAGAAACAAGAGGCTTGGATGGAGAACATGTTGAAGACCATTGAGCTAAAAGAGCAAGAGAGGGTTTGCAGAGAGATGGAATGGAAGAGGGAAGAGACGGCACGTTTCGACTGCGAGCGTGAGCTTTGGGCCAAGCAAAGAGTCTGGATCGAGGCTCGTGACACGGCACTCATGGAAGCTCTGAGGAAGTTCACAGGGCATGAACTAACAATCCAGTCGCCACCAAAGGACCGAAATATTACAAAAGAGGAAGAGCAAAGCACGAACTCATTCTCGGAGCCGGAGATGTTAACTTTGATTCAACTGATAACGAGCTTGGAACCGGGTTTTCAAGAATGCGGTTTTTTAAGGGAAGGATTTTGGGAGGTAATATCGGCGAAAATGGCATGTTTGGGATTTAATCGGAGTGCGGGTGAGTGCCAAGAGAAGTGGGAAAATGTGAGGAATTCTTTTAGAAAGATCACTGAATGGAACAAGAAGCCAAGAGAAGACTTTTCCAGGAGCCAGAATCTATTCTTTCACCAACTCCACAATTCCTAGAAATTATTATGGAATTTCCTAGAAAATAATTTAGCCTGATCAGAGTTGGAGGAAGATCCAAAACAGAAATCACAGGCTTCACATCCTGGTGAAAGTGCAAGATCAATTGGTTGGACGGTCTCGTGTATTGACGCTTTTAGGACAGCAACGACTTGTAAGTTTGGTAAATTTCAGTCCCTTTTTTTATTTGTTTTGAGAGTCGTGGAGTCAGTGAAGCTCAGGAGGGGCAATAACTTGTAAGTCTAGCAAATTAGCAATTTCAGCTTTTTCAGTTGTACTTTTGGTTTGACTTGATTGTTGAGAATATGGAACTGATGGTAGTTTTTGTGATTGGCTTGGTTATTTGTGTAAGAAAGCACCTACTAGCTAGGTAGGAATTTATTCTAGGATGATTTCTTTGATAGTCATTAAGCTCTGGTTCATTTGTTTAATTATCTCTATAAAGACATGAAAATGCTGTTTATTGGTGACTTGAGGATTATGCAAGAGACATGCCTTTCACTGGATAAACAGTCTCCAAAATGGCAGTCGATGGCTGCAAAACTATATCGTTCATTGAAGAAATGTTTATTACAAACTTACAATCGATGTATATTATTTTGATTAGTGATTAAGCCCGGTTGTGATGAGAACCTCATTTGTTCTTCTGGGAGGTGGTGTGTGGACACAAAATCCATAATGTCTATAGCCCTTTTTTGGTTCTGATTAACTGAGCTAATCAGCTAGTGGGAAGAAAATCTTATGTCGGAAAACTCATGTTCAGAAATAATTATAATGTGATAGTGCATATGGAACATCATGATCGAGTTTAGTCTTCTACTTCGATCCTTCTCAATAAGACAAAAAAATCTCAGCTGGTATGAACATCTGATCTAAATAAAAATTTGGCCTTGTATGAACATTCTTTGAGGTTTACGCGACTCCATTTGCCTGAGGCTTCATGTTTGTTGACTGAAAACACCCAACCAGATTTCAATCTACATCTTTTGGTTACAAGATTTCAGTTCATACATGCTAAGCTACCATGCATATGTCGAACTGTACAGATATGGGAAATACTCTTTGAATTGGAAGTTCTTTCTCAGGGTTTTTGGCAGTTCGTACATTTGCCTGGAATATGTTAATATATCTGGAAGGCGTGAATCAGATGCAAACGCACATCACTTCGTGTCTATTCGGGAAGTGGCCTGCGCACAATGATCTTCTGCATATGCAAAATCTCAATGGAATATGCTGTGAAAAATTAGCCAGTCTAAGCTAAACATCTTTTGTCTCAGAACTATCCTCGTATGTCATTCGTGGTCATGTGATTGAGTTGATCTAGAAAAGTGCTGTTCTCGTGAAAGGAGTCTAGGCAATTTTTCTTATCAAATGATTTGTGTTGGCCTGACCAATGACTTGACATTTAACCATATGACCTATTTGAACTAACTAGGGTTTCTTTTAGGTGGGAGAAGTCACAAGGTTGTATCACGTCACGATCTTTACTATTCATTGGCCAAATGACTGATGAGTCTTAATCACCTTTGTAATTATGATTATTTGATATAACTACAATTTTTGCTGAAATAATATATTAAAAAAATTACCTAATCGGTCATAAACATTTCAATTTTGCCAATTTAGTTCTAGACCTTTGTGTGAAATCCCAACATAGTCATTTCGATCAATTTTCGTTGGAACTGCCGAAGTAACGGTCTAGTTATCGTTGTTTGTCCTATGTAGCACACTGCCACATTAGCGATTTTCTACGACAATTGGTCGGAATGACGACATTAGAATTTTGCGCAATTAGGACTAAACTGGTAAAATTGAAAAGTTTAGGACTAAATTGACATTTGTATAGTACGTTTAGGATGGGAAAATTACCAAGGAAGTTCTAAACCTCTTGAAATTGTGCCAATTCAATTCTAAACCTTTTAATTTGGCCAATTTAGTCTTAAACCTTTTGACAATTAGCCAATTCAGTCTATTCGGTCAATTTTGGTCGGAAATCAATGACGTTGTGTCGCCGGCGCTAACATGGACAATTTTATAATTTTTTAACAATTGCATGAATTTTTTTATTTTTTTATTATTTCCTTTTTTTTCTTTGTGGTCGGCGAGGTCGATGGCCACGAGGGCCAACCTAGCGACCTCTGACGAGACATGACTTTGTCGTCGCTATGCGAGGTTGACCTTGCTAACGGCTAGGCTGGCGAGGGTCGAGCCTTGCTAGATCCGACAAGTTTGTGCCTTGCCTAGCCCCTGATAACCCTCACCAGAAGCTGCCAGGTCAAGGCCAGCTGAAATCTTTGAGGTCCTGCTTCTGCATTGTACGTTGGCCAGTTGAAATCTTTGATTCGACATTGATAATTAATTTGAGGATTGCTAGGGGCCGGCGAGGCTTGACCTGGCGAGGTGGCCCTTGCCTAACTACGACGAGGTCAAGCCTCACCCAGCTAGCTAGGGTCACCAGTGATCTCGCCGGCCATAACGAAAAAAGGAAAAAAAAAGAATAAAATAAAATCATAATAAAAAATTCATAAATTTTTTAAATAATTATAAAAATTGTCCATGTTAATGTCGGCAGCGCCATGTTAGCGATTTCTAGCCAAAATTGGCCAAATGGACTAAATTGGCAAATTTTCAAAAGGTTTAGAACTAAATTGGCTAAATTAAAAGGTTTAGAACTGAATTGACACAATTGCAATGGGTTTATGACTTTTTTAGTAATTTTCCGGGTTTAGGATTGATTGAACAATTTCCCCATAATCTATATATAAGGTTGAAGTTTCTGCATATTGGCAAAAAAAGCAATAGTATGTTTGCTATTAGTCTAGCTATTTGTAGGTGAAATTAACCTAGTCATTCGACTAAAGGCAAATAAACTTTGCTAGACAAGGTTGAATATACAAGTCCCGATAACAACTTTCAAGATGACAGGGACTCATATCTATAGATAATTTCATCACGTGAAAATATGTTTAGATGTTGGAGAAAAATCAACTTCATATGTATTCACGAATAAGGTCATAACACGGGGGACATCACCAGAAAAGAAAGACACATACAAGGTTTCAAATAGCATTCCAAAGAGAACATGATAGCGACAAAAAGCGTTAGAAGAGATAGGATGGAACATCAGATATTATGACCCGAAAGGGTAAATCCCCGAAACTTTCTTGGTAGTTTGATATACTACTCACATACTTTCAATTTGGTGAAAATAACCCGTTCCTTTTCACGGTTACATGAAGAACCCTTTTAATCAGTTTTTGGAAGGTTTAATATCGTAAAAAATCCGACGTGACATATTGTAAGCCGCTGTGGCAGCTGAACAATAGTAAACCTAAATTACAGGGGCTATGAAACACCTATTCCGAAATGTGTCGTTAGAATTCGGTTGGGCAAAACTCCCCTCTGTCTATTCGATAACAAGTTGGATATTTAGTACAGTTGTCCGGCAATAGGCAATCTTTGAAACTAGATATGACCTCCAAGACCCTCGAATTTGTAGTGTCTTACTATTTCCGATAATAAACCCACTTGAAAACTTACGCGACCTATATTCACCGGGATTAAAAGTGTCCGCGGCGGGAGTTGGTCTAGCTAGATAAAAAAAAGGGATGAGGGATAAGGGGTGGTCGGACAATTTTACCCCGGAAAGAATCTTCAAATATGGCAAGCTCCTAGCTGACGAGCCCTGGTTGAGTGCATTTTCGGGAAGAGGTCATGGAAGGTCTAAAGCAAAATTTCCGATCCTTCTTCGGCTAGAAGTTGAACCATGCTTTCGTTACTATTCTTTTCCCCTCAGTTATGACTGATAAATCCCAACACGCAAAGGAGGGAAAGAGAGGGAGTCGGCAGGTGTCGATTTGAGTACCTCTACGAGTGAACAAATGGGAAAAACTACCAAAAAGAGTAGAAAAGAAAATGGTATTGTATCATGGCCGAAGCACATGGGGGTAGAATGAGGCTCAAAATTGTCTTCAAATCATGCTGCTTGACCTAAGCAAATGGTGCACATTCAAGTTCCCTAGTGATTGATTAAATTTCATGTGCTCGACGTGGGTCTAGCCCAAATAAACACGGGTCGGGTCCAAGAAAGATGAGCTTCTATATTTTACTTACTAAAGTTCCATCAATCTTTTCGTAATGAAATTTATGCACCGAAAAGATTAGATACTGTCATTCGGAGAAAATATTCGGTGGTTAGCAACCACCGCATTATTGACTGATGTGGTGCGCATTTTACTCTCACAACCATTGAACAATTGAAAGTGGATGCTGACTTGGAATTAAATAAAAAAAGATAAGAATTGTATAGAGTACAGCCGTGAAAGTTCGGCCATGGAAGTTTCACTGGAGTTGTCAGCGATGGAAGTTCCATCGGAGTTGCCCCTCGCCGTCACCAACGGTGGAGTTGCCGGCACTACATCCTTCGCGTCCAAGCTGAGCCATCCTTTTCAGCATCACTTGTGGTTGGCCCGAAACAGATCTGGACGAGCATGACTCCAAATCTAGATATGCATCTTGAGTTGTGCCTCTGTCATTGCTCCTCCATGACCGCGAGCAATGAATCGGGCGACCACTGTTCATCCACAGATCCCGCTGAGCCACCCCTTCGTCGTCGCTTGCGGCTAGGTCTGCTTTTCCTTTTGCTTGCCAAAAATGAAGGGTTAAGCCTCGGAAATGGACAAGCAGGTGAGTCCTGTATTGACCCACCAAGCATCAACCAGACGAAGAAGAAGACTACCCCAGAAAGAATAAAAAAGAATTATTGAGGTAGTCTTCTTCTTCGCGGGTCATTACAAGACCCACCCTCTCATGCCTCTCCTTTTCACCTTTCATTTACCCTATCAAGCCTCTCCCTTTCACCTTTCATCTCTAGAAGACTAACCCTACTAAGAATTTCAAAAAAAACAAAATTTGCTCCTTTTGTCCATCTCTTTCCAAATCAATATAACTCCAAAAGACAACTGGAAGCTTGTAAGGTTGTAGTTCCATGGCCGAGTCGCTCACGGTCGAGCTACAAAGAAGACGGAGGAGGTGGCAACTGGGCACAGTGCGGAGTGCTGGAAACTCCGTCAGTGGCGACTGTGGGCGGCGCGGGGGTCTACTGGCTGTGGACAGAGGAGGAGGACGAGAGAAAATGGAGCTTTTTAATTTTTATTCCAAGTCAGCTGTTGATGTTGCACTGTGATGTGATACTTTGGACTCGCATAATATTTTTAGTGGTTGCGAGGAAAAAAAAATGCCCACTACATCAGCTAATGATATAGTGGTGGCTTATCACTGAATATTTTCTCAAACTTTTGAAATGGACTTTTTATGCATAAGAACGATGTAACAAGAAGATTGCATTTTCAACCAAATAAGTTGCTTAGAATTTCTACCTAGTGATCACTTGATATCTCTAAAGATT